TTTATGCAACCACAGCCACACTCTCAAGCTATTGTATTAAGAAAGTAGGCCAAAGAGCTTTAGCCTGTTTACATTTTCTTTCAAAGTTCAAACTTTTCTCATAAAAACCTCATACAATTCTGTGATGAGAAAATTATATTTGTGAAAAGATATATATGGAGAGAAGAGTGACAGAAAGCCAACAAAAGGACTTCTGTGAGCTATATCCTAGGCTCACAGGAAATACAAGATGACATGAAACCATATTCAATAATATGGTTCAGAGTAACATGCATGCAAAGGAGGCGGTAAAAGAGATCCCCATGGGCCTACCTACTTCTTCCCAAGAACTACCTGTGTGCCTAAAGAATTTGGTCACTTACTTATGAATGGACTTGTCACTGAAAACAGCATCTTTAGTCTCTCTCTCTCATCAGGTAAAATTAAGTTTTCCTTTCCTACCCCACACGCAACACTAGGAATCAGCATATCGGCTCTCGAACTTGCATTTGTTTTTCTGTCAAATGCTTAATTTCTGTAAGTTAAAGGAGAGGTAAAAAGACCTTACTCTGGAGTTCAAAGAATGTCCACAAAATCTACAGCCAGCCCCCAAAGTTATGGTATTTGACCTCCTTCCTTCATGGACCGTAGCAGTGAAACGAGTCTTTACCAGAATGACTGATATTCAATGCAATCTGAGTTCGCACAATTCCTTCAGTCATGGGCATTTTTAGGTGCACCACCACCCGGAAACCACCACCTGATGTTTCTATTCTGAACTCATTACGTTTGCCAACAAAAACAAGGACGTGAATGTGGGCCAGTCAAACTGTGAGTCACACCAAGTTCCAGGGAGACACGCAACCAAAGTTCTGTCACAAACTAAGACAACACACCCACCTGGATCCCTCAGAGCCCAAACCCACATTTCAGAAACAGAAGCTCTCCAAAGAGAAGTGGTAGAGGTTTCACTCAAACCCTCCTCTTCTTCAAAAACTGCCTAATGAGTGTATAAACTTAAAACTCCTGGAAGGGCCCACTTTTTCATCTAAAATCCAGTTGTTTGGTGTCTTAGATCCTTAAACATGGGGCAAAGTATTAATGTAAAAGAAATCCTCACCACTTGGCTTTTTGAAACATCAACCAATGCCAAACTGGCATCAATAATTACTGTTTAAATAAAGAGTGTAAAAGAAATAGAAGAGTCTTTGTATTTTCCAGGGTAGGTTAGTTCAGCTTTGTTTTTTTAATCCATTAGCTCCATTTAATGCAGCATCAGTCTTTATGGTGGTGATATATGTGACAAAAGTTGTAGGTTTTTGGCTAAGAAAATCATTCCGACATGCACGGAGATGCATTTGAGAAACTGATGACATAATACACTACAGATTCAAGGAACTACGTAAGCCCAGAGCAGTTACTGGATAGTGTCAACATGGGGGCAGTTTGATGACTGATTTAATTGTGAAATTATCAACGTTTAGTTGAAGGGAAATGCTGGCCAGAGGACAGACACTTTGTTTCCTTTGTCCTAAAACAACACCCAGTGTCAGTAACCTTAAAAGCTTTGGATCTCATACTTAAACCCATCTGTTCCATCATGGTTAAAAAACAACAGTAAAATCATGGTTTCCTGAAAGATTGCACAATCAGATGCTCAACTGGGATTTTTTTTCTTACTTTCAAAACTAATAATATGACTTTCTAAGGAAATCTTTGGGAATTAAAAAAAAAGTCATAATTATGTATTGGGTTGGCCAAACAGTTTATTTAGGTTTTTTCCATGTTACAGAAAAACTCAAACTTTTTGGCCAACCTAATACTATCTCTTGCCTATGTGTGCACCTTGAAGGAACATTTCTTTAGTAAAGAATCAAGACACAGACCCAAATGTGAATGGATATTCATACATTCCCTCATTCATTCATTCACTGTTTTGAAAAGGTAATTCAAATCAGATTAGAAACATGTAATAATATCTCTGAAAAGACAAGAGTGATGAATGAATAGTTAACAGTTTGAAAGATGTGCTTTTGAGGCTATAGGTGTTTTTAAAAATGGGAGATGAGAACCTCAAAAAGTTACTTTTAATGTGACAAATTACCAACATACTCTAAATTAACCACAAAAGTACAAATAGTTCATGAATATGAAAGGTTTTAAAAAGAAGTCAGCTAGTCAGTAAATGAGGGGGTGGAAATGACCTTGTTCTGATTTATCTCCTGCAAGCACAGTGAGTGACAGAAAGACTACCTAGACAGTTAATGAACTCTCTCTCACTGAACTTGTTTCCAAAAAATGACTAGAATGCCCTTGAAATTAGGCACTATTGATATGTAACAACAATGTGTCCTGAATTTCAAGTCAACATCTGTCCACAAAGGCCAGGTTATCCCATTTTTCAAAGGAGCTATAGTAACTATGATAGTTGTTGGTCAAAGAATTTAACCAAAACCTGATCCTACCTTTCTCAATAACTCAAACATCTTTCAAGTTTTGTCCTTTGAACATATTGTGTTTTAGTATGCCACATCTGCCTCCTACACACAGATGGAGAAAGAGAAATGTTGGTTAAAAATAAGTATGTAAACTTAAAGGTTGCTACTCAAACTGTGAATGCAATTTAAAGCTTTGTTATATTCAAGTCCTTAAGCAAGGACTCATTTCTTGGAAAGAATTATAAATCTGGAGAACAAGATAACATCCTAAAGATACTACTTGACTGGTTTTTGCAGCTTTCTTTGGGTATTACAAACAGCAGTCTGAATACTCCATCAGTCAAGCCTTCAGAGAGCTCTCACCAGCCCACAGGAATTCCACCTCACCTCCTGGATTTTCCTGCTGAAAAAGTGCATTGGAAAATACAGTGTGTTTTATGTACTTCTGCTCAGATGGTAAAGAATCTGTCTGTAATGCAGGAGACCTGGGTTTGATCCCTGGGTCAGGAAGATCCCCTGGAGAAGGGAATGGCTACCCACTCCAGTATTCTTGCCTGGAGAATCCCATGGACAGAGGAGTCTCGCAGGCTACAATCCACAGGGTCACAAAGGGTCAGATTGGACTGAACAAATAACTCTTTTCACTTTCACAGAACATAAATAGCAAAGATTCAGTCACCATTATTTCAGTGACATTAGGCAATTTCTGTTTCTCAATCCAAAATACAGACCAAAATTAAAATATACAGGCTTTTTCAGTGAAGCACACCTCATCTTTGCAAAAAAATCTACCCTTAATCCATCCTGTGCTAATTAAAAATTTTAAGAACAATACAGATCCAGGTGTCTTATGCATGCGTGCATGGATGTGTGCTCAATCACTTCAGTAGTGTCCAACTCTTTTGCAACCCTTTGGACTGTAACCTGCCAGGCTCCTCTGTCCATGGGACTTCCCAGGCAAGAATACTGGATCGGTTTGCCATTTCCTCCTCAAGGGGATCTTCCCCACCCAGGGACTGAACTCACGTCTCTGGTGGCTCCTGCACTGCAGGTGGATTCTTTACCACTGAACCACCAGGGAAGCCCTTGGGTGTTTTATAAACAACAGCAAAACAAAACACCTCTTTTTTGCCCTGCAACCTAACTGGTATCTGGCTAGAAAGACGGAGGACCCCATCAACAAAGTCCTGTGTCCCCACACTTCCCAACCTGGGTTTATTAGATGCAATATTGTGGCTTCTTTCTTTCCTCCTCTCCCGGAAATGCCCTGACGTACAGGCACCTGGGATGCAGCTTTTGACTCACAAAGAAGTCCACGCCCGTTTCCTCCCAACCTGGCAACAGAAGGATCCTCACTGCTGAGGCACTCCGGTGAAAGAAAAGGGAAACTTGACTCAGGAGTCCCAGCCTAAATACTTTCTTTGCTTCCCCAAAAGAAAGAGCCTTCAGCACTGGTTAAGTGAGGGTTCTCAATCAGTATATGGGGTCAATTTTTTCCCCAGAAAGTCAATCATACCCAGTTAGTGACCTGGGCACACAAAATCACCAAGCAAGAAAAAGCTAAAGGATTTGAAACCGGAAATAAAACAGAAAAACAGAATTCTATACTACTTATCTAAATATCCTTTTGCTCCCAACAGGCAGTTCCTTTCCCTAAATACCGAACTGGGACACGAGATCAAGTTCTTCTTCTATTGCTCCCTGCAATTTTTATTGAAAGGAAGGATTTGTTTTGGCCCCACATGTTGAAAAATTCATGTTCCTATAATTAAGAGTTTGTTTGCCACGCCTTCAGCCACATTTCCCTGTTAAAACTCCCTTCGCTAAAAAGGATCCATGAAAACAACTACCAGCCCTCATTCTTCTCTCAAACAGCCACAGAAAACAGTTATGAAGGTTCTCAACAGCCTATCTAACCTTTCCAGATCACAACGTTGGCAACCAAAGGGATCCTCCGTTAAGATGTGAGAGAAAAAGAACCGGCGTTGAAGCATGCCCCCAAGAGACCGGTTTTCCCACAAGCTCATAATTAATACACTCCAAGTGAATGTCTCACGTTCTGACGGAACTATAGAAAAGGATCTCATATTATGATATAAAAAATATGAATATCAATGACAGACTTTCATTTAAATCAACATGTAATAGACCAGAGGGGAGCCAATAAAACACAAAAACTTTTGTTCTCTCTCATCATAATTTTTGAGTCGATATTTCATAAACTTTTTGTGACATTTTAAAATAACACCCCCCTACACACACACCACACACACACACACACACACACAGACACCACACTTCTCTGACTGGGGTTCTCAAGTATTATTAGGAGAGTGGGGAGGGGGCGGTGTTTAAGGACACAGACAAGATCTCACACGTCCAATCCTGAAGGTATTTTTCACCTGAAAGCTATTTGGGAGCCCCGGGAGTTAAGCTCTACCCCACCCACCAAAAAGTGCCCGCTCCCACTGGGAAACTGGAGTGAGCTGGAAAAGGAAATCGAGCGGGGAAAAGGAGGAGCAGCTGCAACCACACAACGATGCCACTACCCTCCGGTCCCCGAGAGGAGCCCAACGCCCTTACCTGGGGGGAGCAGAGCCGCCAACACGAGTTGCAAAAGTTGTGCTTCACCTTCGCCCGGAGTTCAAAGCGCCGGCACTCCGGCCCCGCCGCAGGCTGGCTGCCCCGAGTCCTCTCTCGCCCCGCTCCCGCCTTCCCCACCCTCTCGGCCCTACACCACGTCAGGAATCCGGGCAGGCACCGAGCTGGGAGCTGACATCACTCCCAGTCCCAGGTACCTCCCCTCCCTCGTGCCCTCCCACCGCCCTCCCCGCGGGAATGAGCCAAAGAGAGCGCGCGGGCGGGGTGTCGGCGCGCCGCGGTTCGCGCTGATTGGGCCCGCGGACTGTCACTCAGAGGAGCCCACTAATTTTACACATTCCTCTCTGAGCCCGGCGCTGGGCTGGAAGTGGGTGTTGATGGAAAAAAATGCTGCCTTTCCTGCTATCTGTAAGGGAAGGAGAATCATGGTACGAGGAAGATCCTTGCGGGTGGTGTTTTAAACTTTTCTTGGCGCATTTCCCAATCCCCCAGGTCAGAAATGAAACTAACCTATCCAAGCCCTCCTTTGAAGGAAAAACAGTCGCCTGTGTGTCACGGGCAAGTCCGAGTCCGGCGGCGCGTGCAGCAGAAAATGGCTAGCTTGAAGTCAGACAAATAAAGGAAACCGCCAGCTCGCTCAGCTCCCCTTTTATCTTGGGGTTGCTGGGCGTTCCTTTAGAACGGGAAATTTAGAACTTCAAAAGCTCTTCAAGAAGATAGGGAGGACAATCCTAGAAACTGCGACCCAGCTCTAGATTGTTAACCCTGGGGCGTTATCGACCATGCGGTTTGCTTTTGCTTTTAGTGACGAAAATCACAGCACGCGAGCTTCCAGGCAAATAAAACTGAACCTCTGAAGTAAGAAAAATTACTGTTTACCTTTTTTTAAAGACCTCAGGGCTGCTGTTTTTATACACAACTGAAAAGGGGTGGAAATCTCACAATTGAGTTCAGCAAGCCACATGAGAATAATTATTGTTGAATGGAATCAATTGCAGTGGCTGAGCTATCAATTAAGAATTAACTAACATTTACCCTGCCAGCTATCAGGCTATACCCCTGGCTAACAGAACAGAGAGATTCTCAGGAAATGGGTCTTTCAGCTTGCCTAATAACTGCCTCAAGGCAGGACTGAATTGTGAAACGTGGCCCTCTTTACATGAGATAAAGATAGATTATCCGTTATCTTCTGGAATTACAATGAATTGATTACTGACTTTCTCTTCATTTTTATTGTTTGTTTTCTGGTGGATGAGGACGTGTTTATTTGGCCATTCTGCCACAAATTGTAGAAGGGATGCAGAGTCCAACAGTGTGTCTGAATTAATTCCCACAACCATCCTGTAAATTGAGTGTCATTAGCCCCGTTTCAACATAAAGGAATGAAAGGCTCAGCAAGGTTACATAAGTAAATTGCTCCAGAACTGCAGTTGAAACCAAGGTTTATTGGATTCCAAAGCTATTTCTTCTCTCTAGAGCAGTGATTGCCCACAATCTACACACATATTATAATGCCAAAAAAGAAAAAAATCCACCGCCCCCAGCAACTGCTCTCACAGACCAATTTCTGTATTATCAACATTATACTGTTTGTCAAACCTACACTGTTCCAAGCTCCTAACTACTGAATCCATCTTCCCCCAGCTCTAAGTCCTATGCACTACTTCCAAATGAGTTTGCTAAAACACTGTTTGGTTTTGCCGTCAGTATCTTCCCCTTCTAAATCGGGTCCCTCTTGCCATGCAGTTCTTTGCTGGCCATTTAAAACTCTCTGATCTGGGCTCTATGCACCTTTCCCACCTTGTCTCCCACTTCACTCCTGGGAAACATTTCACTGCAAACTGGTCTACTCCCAGATTCCTGATTGCATCTCACCTACTGGCCTACCTGGAATCCCCACTCTTCTGTCTGGGAGAGCTTTGTGGGGTGTTTTGTTTTGTTTTTGAGAGTTTTAAAGATATATTCTCTTAGTAACTTTCAAAGATGTAATACTGTGTTATTAACTATAGTTACCATATTGTACATTACATCCCTATGGCTTACTTATTTTGTAAGTGGAAATTTTTAACCTTTGGGTCCCCTTCTGTGTGCTAAGTCCTACCCTTCTGTCAAAGCCTTAAGTCCTGTCCTTGATGTGCCCTACAGCAGACAGAAAAGGGGGTCCATTGTCTAGTTCTGCACTTGCTTGCTGTGTAACTTTGTGCTATGCTGGGCTAGGTTGCATCAGTCATGTCCAACTGTTTGCAACCCCATGGACTGTAGCTCTCCAGGCTCCTCTGTCCTTGGGATTCTCCAGGCAAGAATATTGGAGTGGGTTGCCATTTCCTACTCCAGGAGATCTTCCTGACCCAGGAATGGAAACTGCATCTTTCACATCTCCTGCATAGGCAGGCGAGTTCTTTAACACTAGCACCACCTGGGAAGACCAAGTCATTAAAATATCCATCAGAAACCTAATCACCTCTTTTATAAAATGGAACTAATAATACTCACATCAAAGGTTATTACAATCCTTACTGAAATTATATAGATGTGTTAACGTATGGTTATCTTATGTCCAGTTATATTCATTTCCTATCTTCCCAGACTCTGAGGAGGCTGCTCATGCCTAATACTTCTGTATTCCTTACCCCCAATTCAAGAAAAACATTCAGTAAAAATCTAGGATGGAAAATGGATTAGCAGATCACCTCTAACCCTGCTCCCTTCCTTAAATGCACCCAACCCCAAACAATCTCATAGCTAGAAACCATAACTACGTAACTGTGCTATACTTAGTCATGTCTGACTCTGCAACCCTAAGGACAGTAGCCTGCCAGGCTCCTCTGTCCATGGGGATTCTTCAGGAAAGAATACTGGAGTGGGTTGATGTGCCCTCCTCCAGGGGATCTTCCCAACCCAGGCATCATACCTAGGTCTCCCACATTGCAGGGCAATTCTTTACCGTCTGAACCACCAGGGAAGCCCAAGAATACTGGAGTGGGTAGCCTATCCCTTCTCCAGGGGATCTTCCCGACTCAGAAATCAAACAGGACTCTCCTGCATTCCAGATGGATTCTCTACCAGCTGAGCTACCTTAACTCTCTCTCCCCATTTCCCTCTCTCAACCTTAATGCCTTGGCAACAACCCCCTCTTCTTACTCTCCCATTATTCATGCAGCAACCCTTCACAGCCTCAGGCATTTTCTGCACCAACCACTTAACCTGCCTCTTAGCCACCCATTCCTCCTTGTCCCTCAGCCAGGGACACACTTGTCTGGAGCCTGCTCTGCCTTGCTCTCCCAGATGCTCTCCAACAGTGGCTGGATGGCTACCAGTGATTCTTCCAGGCCCAGTCCTAGGAAGCCCGCCTGGCTCACATTCTACAGCCAGCAGCAGGAGGAGATGGGGGGAGGGACTGTCCCACCCCCACAGGGATGGCAGGATAGAATAACAGGAAGTTGCCTCCCATCCCCGCTGCAGCTGGAGTGATAACAGCTGTCATCTGAATCCAGAAAACAGAAGACTCGAGGAAAACAACAAACAGGCCGGGGCTGGAACAGTAGTGTTCCGACCAGGGGTTCCAGAGTGGGTGAGAAAGGAAGGAATGGGTGAGATTTCAGCCTCCTCTCCCCACCTCTCCCTCCCCTCCCCCTTAATTAGAGTTACAGCTCTTCTCTATTCTATCAACACATTTGCAAGTAAGCAAAGTCACTTCAGTCTTGTTTGACTCTTTGAGACCCTATATGGATTGTAGGGCTCCTCTGTAGACCCAGGCTCCTCTGTCCATGGGGTAGGATTCTCCAGGCAAGAATACTAGAGTGGATTGCCATGCCCTCCTCCAGGGAATCTTCCTGACCCAGGGGTGGAACCTGCAACTCTTATGTCTCCTGCATTGACAGGAAGGTTCTTTATCACTAGCGCCACCTGGGAATCCCATCATTTCATTTAGGCTTCACTATAGTGCTTCATTTGGCAATGAGATCTAACTCTTCAATAAATAGATTGAAATCGCTGGCCTCTGGGTACCTTGGGGAAGCCCCAAAGAATCAGGACATTGCGGGGAGCAAAATAGGATGCCCGATGAGCAAGTATCCAGAGTCTATCCATTATTCTGGGTCTTAACTTATTTAATGGAAAAGTATGTTTACAGCTCCTGTGGTTTCAACACCAATTAACTCTGAGAGTCTAGATACGTATTTTCTGTCAAATTATTCCTATGATCAGCCTGACCTATAGTACCTATGAGTTTGTCAGATAATGACTGTGGGGTTGGGAAGGGGACACTGTGAAAACAGGGAGAAGAAAGCTGCAGAGAATAGCAACACTAGAACTTGAAATGGACCCTAAAGGTCATCTGATATAACCACCTACTGGATGCCAGATCCCTTTCTACTGTGGTCCTGACAAGTGGCCTTCTGAAGTTATCTGGCAACAAGGGGTACACAAGCTGAAAGAACATACCACCACTGAAATTCTTTCTCCTGGAAAGCCATATCCTGCTTTTCTGACTATTTTCCCAAAGACCTCTGTCTTGTGTCTCTTAATCCTCACAACCATCCTGTAAGGTGAGTGTCATTAGCCCCATTTTAACATAAGAAATCAAAGGCTCAGCATGGTTACATAAGTAAATTGCTCTAGGACACCCAGAACTGGGATGAAAACCAAGGTCTCCTTGACTGCAAGCCATCTTTTCTTTATCTCTCCAAAGCACTGATTGTCCGCAATCTGCTCTTTCAGCTCTGTGCTCTGGAGTGGCAGAGAGCAGCCTGTTTTTTTTGTTCCTCCCACCCCCAAACCTGTGCAGGCCCAAAGTTTATTTAGATACAGACACCAGGAGAGGCTAACCCCACTCATAAAGGTTATGTCCTTCACTGACTGGTCTTTATAGGCTTCCATCTTCTGCTCTCCAAAGCACAGTCATGACCACTCTTGGTACTTTCAGAACAAGTGAACATCGCCCAAATTCCTCTCTGGCACCCAGAGATCCTTACATCGTGGCCACCAACCTACCTTTCTGAATGTATCGTCTTCTCTGCTTCATACTCACACACTCTGCAAATGAATGACTTTGCACCCAAATCCTCTAAGAATCTTTTCTCAGTTAAGAAAGATCCTTGCTCATTTCTACTAAAGTCCACCTCCCAGGGTGGTTGT